GAAATAAACAAAGGGTGCATTTATTTGAGTGAAAAAAATTTTAAAGAGCCTTGAAAACCACAGGGGCTCCTTAAGATGTTTATGTAATTGAATTGAATTTATATGGGATGGAGAGGAATGATAATGAAAACATTCTCACTCAAGTGCATCTGAAGGCATGTGAAATTGCTCTCACAGTGGTGGTCTGCGCTTTGCTGGGTCCTTGGAGTTTTTTGCTCGCCTAGGCTAAAAGTGTGTTTTAGAGAGCAGACATGGGACACAAACTATTAAACAAATTGTTCTGGATTCCAAATGCCCAGCAGTGTCACATCCTCCTTGTTTGGCATGGAAAGGACATAGCATTTGGGAGCTCAGCAGTGCGTTAAGTGTTTTAATAATCATTGTTGACACACAAAGCATATGGCCTCTCAGAACTCACTGGGTCAAGATTGAAATCCTCTCCATTTCTAAAATTACCCCTCAAAATCCAAACAAAATTATCTGAGGCACATCTCAAACTATGATTTCATAAGTTGTATGTTATAAGCAAAGGACACAAGCTCTCTCGTAGAATGTGAGTACCTATGAGTAACTGATCACATAAAGGAAAAAAATAAAAATTTGTACCCAAGAAAAATGTTTAATTTGCATCTTATTAGAAAACTCTAGAACTTCCATGTAAGTAAGACAGTCTTCTATGAACCTTAGATTTACTTTGAGAACCACCTCTAGTATTGGCTCTTCTAAGAAACCCTCCTTGCCTGTTTCCTGACTGTTTACAGCAATAATCTGTGGTTGTAATCATGCTGTGAAATAAAACCACCATAGCATTCAAGTGCTTACAACAATAAACATCTCTTTATTGCTTGTAAGTCTATGGTTAACAGGGTGTTTCCGGTAGGGGGGTTATTCACATGCTGGTTGGTAGTCAGCTACAGGGCAGGGAAAGACTGTTAATAATGGCTGAATCCCCTCCTTAAGTCTCCTCATGCCGTGTGGCTCACACCCCTCCAGCTGGCCAATCTGAGTGTATTCTCATGGCCATCCCAGAGAAGGCAGAGGGAAAGTGGAAACATGCTGGCATTCCCTTTTTCAAGTTTCCAGTCTCCTTACATCTGTCAGCCTCTCATTGTCCAACACCAAGTCACATGGCCAAGCCTGATTTCAGAGTTAGAGGAGACTACAAAGTTACAGCGCCAAGTGTAAGAAGATACAGGAAGGACACTCCTTGGGGCTTTAATGCCATCGCCCTACAGTGATGCCACTGCCCAGCAGTAATAATGCCGATGCTCTACAATGACCCCGACCCCAGCAGCGTTCCTTGTTCCCTTGTCTGGGTTCTCTCTGTTCTCAGTTCTATGTTGTGGAATAAATCTTGTACACTGTGAAGAAATATAACTCAGATTGGTTTAATAAGAATGGCCAATAGCTAGGCAGGATTTAGGTGGCAGAGAGAGCACTGGGAAAAAGAAGGCAGAGTCGCCATCTGGACATGGAAGAAGCAGGAAAGCAGCATGAGCAATACAGAGTAAAGGTAATAAATCCACGAGGCAGAATGTAAATTAATAGAAATGGGCTAATTTAAGTTATAATAGCTAGTTAGAAACAAGCCTAAGCTATTGGCCGAGCTTTCATAATTAATAATGTCTCCTTGTCATTATTGGGGAGCTGACGGTTCTGATAAAAAGGCCTGATTACATGATACAAAGGCCTGATTACAGTTCTACCTTACACTTCTTTCATTGTGTTATAATTGTTAACTTTTCTCTCCTCCTTAGAAGCTTAGGATGCTCATGAGAATGTGCATTCAAATATCTAGTGACTATATGTTGTATTAGGATGCTCATAACAATGTGCAATCATTCATAAACATTTAGTGACTATACATTATATGTGTTATTACTTTAAAGATAATCCCTGCCATGCATAGTTAACCTGACTCATATGTGCTCTATAAACATGTACTGAATGGACAACATGCCCCAAACATGCTCTTTCCCCTTACAAGTTTAAGGCTGAGGACAGATGTCTTTCAGGATCCCAGTTGAAGAGGTCCTTCTGGCCAAATAATGCTGACCAAAGTGCTCTACAGCAAAAATCTCAGCTGCTAAAATTCTGTCCGTCTAGATTTCGTCTTCTTCCCTGACCCCCAGAAGCCCCTGTTCTTCTTTCCATCTTTTGCTCCTCTCAGGGGAAAGCAGAACATCAATGATAGGTCACTCACCTTAAACTCTTCTTACAGTCAGAGCTCCCAGGAGAAGATATTCGAGTCTCCACTCTGCAGTAAAGAATAATCAATTTCCAGCATGCTTGTGCTCAGAGTGAGACAGTTGAGAGGGGATAGTAGCTGCTGCCCACTGGTTTCACCAGCATGACAGATAGAGAATTAAGAGGAATTCTTAGAAAATTCTGTGTGCAGCTATCCATGCAGCCACGATTCTTGTGGGTATTAATTCTGTTGATGTAGTGTTAAATGCTTAGCCTTGTTGTTTCCAATTGCCTACAGTCCTAAAGGGGAACTTGTATTTCTAAGTAAGATCCAGTTTTGAGCTTCTTGATTTTCCAGGCAGTAGGGTAAAGTGCTTGAATGAGCATAGTAGCATGGCTACTAAATCAGAGAGCCAGCCCTGTCCTAAGTGAGCCCTTGCCTTGGTAAAGGCTCCCGTTGTCCTCAACAAGGGAAGGAAGGTCATTATAACAGCTAAAATAGACTATTAGCACGTAGTGAATAAATTAAATCAATTGTTACATTTATACCTAGCATTCCTATTATTGTATAATTCCTTATAAACTTGTAAGCTGTGACTATGTTATTATTGATAGTGAAATAATTGTATTTATATCAAATAATGTATTTATTTAGTTTCATGAGAAATAAAATCACTACTTTTTTATAGTGAAACGTGCACACTTATGCCACAGCCCTCATGTGAAGGTTGAAGGGACAACCTGTGAGAGTTGGTTTCCTTCTTCTATGGAGTCCAGGAATTGAATTCAGGTCATCAGGCTTGGTAGCATATGTCCTTGTCCACTGAGCAATCTGGCCAGCGCCCCCCCACACTTACTATTTTTAAAGCTGTTTTAATTATGGACATTTAGAAATGGCATGGGAAAGTTCTTCATTCAGTCAACAAGTGTGTATTCAGTCCCACCCTTGCACTAGGCTGCTTGCTGATCCAGTGGTGGACAAAAGAGACATTGTCTGTGCTGCCTGGTGTGTTAGGATGAAAACACTATAAATAATAAGTCAGCACTACTTCTAAAACTCATCTGCCCAGGTTCTATGCCTCAAGAGTTTTGTAAAATAATTTAATATTTGAATTTATCAAGCCGAACACATTAAATATATAGAGATTTTATACATAAAAAAGTAACTCAATAAAATGTTGTTCTTTTTTTTAATGTGACTGGCTTTCCTCATCCGTAATATAATATGGTGGGTGGTGCTTTGGATTAGAGGAAGGGGAGATTTTTTTTCTTTTTTTATTTTATTTTATTTTTCTTTATTAAGAAATTTTCTACTCACTCCTCATGCTATCCACAGACCTCCCCCTTCCTCCCTCCTCCCACCACCCAGCCCTCTTTCCCAAGCCACCCTGCATCCCTACATCCCCCAAATCGAGGTCTCCCATGGGGAGTCAGCAGAGCCCAGCTCACTAAACCTAGGCAGGTCCAAGCCCCTTCCCTCTGCACCAAGGCTGTGCAAGGTGTCACACCACAGGCACCGGGTTCCAGAAGTGGAAGGGGAGATTTTTGACTTCATGGTTTTTAAAGAAATACGTGATTTAGACAGTGTCTCATGTAGCCCAGGCTGGCCTCAAACTCGCTACATAGCCAAAGATGATCTGAAACTTCTGACCCTTTCGCCTTCACCTCTAGATTGCTGGAGCTACAGGAGCGAGCTGCTGCACGCAGTTTATGCAGTGCTGGGAACTCTACAGAAGCGGGCTGCTGCACCCAGTTTATGCAGTGCTGGGAACTCTACAGGAGCGGGCTGCTGCACCCAGTTTATGCAGTGCTGGGACTGGAACTCTACAGGAGTGGGCCTCTGCACCCAGTTTATGCAGTGCTGGGAACTCTACAGGAGTGAGCCGCTGCACACAGTTTATGCGGTGCTGGGAACTCTACAGGAGTGGGCCATCCATTGCAACCAGTTTATGCAGTGCTGGGACTGGAACTCTGCAGGAGTGGGCGGCTGCACCCAGTTTATGCAGTGCTTGGAATGGAGCTGGAACTCTGGGCTTCATAAACTCTACTTAAGCACTTTACCTACTCAACTATCTGTAGCCCTCTAAATTTGCACCTCTACTTTTCTTGTAACATAATATATAGAGTTAACATGTGCAAAACTCTCCTGGCCATCACCCCTTCCCTGCATTACAGGGATTCATGGGTGGTTGGAGGTTTGCTGGTGTTCATCAGTCAATAATAAAAATTGAAAATTTATTGGTAGGAATGTTTCAGGCTGTGGCAAATATGTTTTAGGCAGTGGCAAAATTCTTAGAGATAATGCCTCAGTTGGCTTCTGAAACAGTAAAATGATGTTAGAAAAAAGTGAAACCCCAAGAAAGTATAGAAATCAGTACATAGGATTGTATCAATGATAGCTTCTGCATTTCATCAAGTGTTACACAAGAAAATGTAACACAAGGAAAAGGCCATTGAGGACTGTGTGGTAACTCAGCTTCCAGAGAACTCTGCAGCCAAGAGTTTTTAGCATCTGCATCTCCAAACTTCTCCTCACTATGGCTAGCTTGTAATTGCCCCAAGGAGACAGCATTATTAATCTCATTCTGCAAAACATATAATTTGTATAGTAAGTCTGTTACAAAATTATGATCATCACAATTCTTATCTAGGTATTTTGGAAGTTAAAGGATGGTTGTCAGATCTGCTCATCTGCCTGGAACTTTTAATGTTTTCTTATGTAAGACAGAAACGCCCTTCTCTGGTCTTTCCTCACCTGCAAATTTTAACTTCATAGAGTTTTGAGTGTCTCAGACTTGGTTTTTCTTTCGTAGGTACAGACACAAGTACGCCTTGCAAAAAAAAACTTTGACAAATTGAAGATGGATGTGTGTCAAAAGGTGGATCTTCTTGGAGCAAGCAGATGCAATCTCTTATCTCACATGCTAGCAACGTACCAGGTAACAAAGTGATATCTGTTTTAATGAACAAAGAGTTGCCAGAGGCTTAGATAATGGGGAATTCTGAGTTTGAATGGAAAGTATGACCTGGGCGTCACAGATTTTGAATGCATCCTCTTCTCTGCTCTTGAAGGTCCTGCAGTTTAATCAACAGTACAGTCACTGTGTGCTGTACACACAGTGGAATTTTCTATTTTCTTGCACTTGTTTTGTGGGTCCTTTGTGCCTGGAATACCTTTCTTCTTCATCTGTGCCTCTTCCAGATCCTACTCTGGACCCTGTTAGCACGATACCCTACATGTCTCATGTTGTGATTATTCAGCACGCTTGGTTTTGTCTCTCTTAATACTAAGATCCTCAGTGTAACCCTGTGTCTATCCTCAGTGCTGGCGACTCCAAATGCATGTGAAACACCAGATGCTTGGAGTTGTAGGAATGTGAAAATTGCTATATCCCCATTCCTTTTCCTCAAAGAATTCAAAGTTTAGGAAGTAAACTGGAAGCTGCAAGATTTTACTGTATTTCCCAAACCTCTAGAAAAGGTATTTCAAGCAGAAAAAAACTTTTAAGAATGCCAATGAGTAGGCCATGGTGGTACATGCCTTTAATCCTAGCACTCAGGAGGCTGAGGTAAGTGGATCTCTGTGAGTTCAAGGCTACCCTGGTCTAGAAAGCAAGTTCCAGGTCATCCAGGGTCACCCCATGTGACTCTGTCTCACCACTACCACCACCACCACCCCCAGAAAAACAAAAAGGAATGCCAATGAGACTTTGAGAGGGAGAAATCAATGTATCATACAATGAGATGAAAACCCTGGGTTTTGGAGAATGTACTGAATGGGACACAGAAGATGGAGAGGTGAGGGTCCCAAGTGGTAGGAGCAACCCAAGCATTGATAGAAACTCAGTTGGATGACATACCAAGGTCTAAGAGAACTATCCATCAGAGAAACAGAGGTACAAAGATGAGTGCCAATAAGTTGAGACCACCTGCAAAGTTATAGATAAGACCACTTCTCTGAGGACCAGGGTCAGAAGGGGGCATTTGAGACATTAATGACTTTACCATCTTTCCTTACAGACCACTCTGCTCCACTTTTGGGAAAAAACTTCTCACACCATGGCAGCCATCCATGAAAGCTTCAAAGGTTACCAACCGTATGAGTTCACAACGTTAAAGGTATGAAAGCGAGAGAGACCACTAGCAAATCGATGAAAAGGAAATTTTGTTTGGATTACAAGGCAAACCCAAGGCAGTGTCACTATTCCCAGAGCCCTACAGTCAGAGAGCGCCTTTCATCATATATCATGATAATCCGTACTTATCTGACATTGTTGAAGACAAGATTGCTCAAGAACAAGTAACTAATTCCTTTTTGTTTTCTTTAGTTTTCTTTTCTTTTCCCATTACCTGGAATGGAATTCAGGCTTTGTACATGCTAGACAGGTGCTCTACCACTGAGTTACATCCCTACTTTTTAATTATTAAATCTGAATATGCTCATCTGAGAAGATATATTTCTTTCCTCCCTTCTTTCTGAAAACTATCACTTTATTCTGAAGTTACCTCCAACATAGGATTGGAACGTTCCATAAGACTATAGTAATATTTTCTAATTGAAAGAACAACATTAAACTCAAGGATCCTTGCCTCAAAGGGGATTTGTGCATACAGTGTCTGATTCTCAGTATTGAAACTGATTTGGAATTATCTTGCCCTAATGGTTACTAGAAATGAATGCACATCAAGATAAGAAAGTGATTTTCATTCCAGAAGGATTTTGAGAATGATGGGAGAGAACAGTGGGCACTTTGTTGCTGGGTTGTGTCTTTGAAAGAAAACTATCAGGCAAGAACTAGCAAAAGCAAACCTTGAAATTGCTCACTTCTAATTTGTAAGGGAATTTATAAGGGTCCACCTTGCTAACAAAACATTGGAAAAAACCTATTTTTTTTTTTTGGCCTTAAAATGCATCTTTGATTTTAAATGTTTATAAGTCACCTACAAATTTACAAAAGTACTGAGGTAGAGACCTTCAAAGACCTTGTGTGAAAGTGAAGGTCTCAGGAGGGACGCAGGAGTGTCCACTTGCCCTGAGCTGTGTCCAAGCTGACTCCAGGAAGGACACCTGGCCATGAAGTTGTTCCTCACATTCCCTGCCTTGCTCAGTTGTTGGTATTCACTGACATGCCTCGTGGTGAATGCACCCTAAATATGCACGGTTTCACTCTGTCAACTATACACACTTACCAAGAGAAGCTTTTTATTTCTTATACATCCTGTATGTCCATCATCCAGCCAAATGTCCTGTACACAGTCAGCAAGCAGCCTGTCACACTGGCAGTGTGACTGTTGGAAACAGCTGCATTTCTTCTTTGTGATTTACTGATGCTTTCAACAACTTAGGAAGTAGCCCTCCTGACCAAGGCAGATTAAATCTGCAACCCAAGCTACCCACAGTTCTTAGCCTGGCCTGAGCAGACTGCAGACTACCCTTCCACGGGACACTTCTGGGCCATCATGATTGTTCTGCTGTTGTTGTTGTTTCATTTTTCTTTTTATAGTATTAAGGATTGAACCTAGGACCTCATGCGTGCTAGAAAAATACTCTACTGCTAACCTGTATCCCAAGCCCACATGTTTTAATTTGCGTCCAGTGCCAAAGGTTATCTGTCTTTTGAAACAGAAATTGGCCCAGAGACAAATGAAATGGCCCCTACCTCAAATATAATTTTAAAATGTTCATGTTTGAGTTCACTGCATATAAATGACAGTGTGAACTCATGACACTGAAGTCACGCCACAAGCATGGGAGAACACACGTGTGTCCCTGGCTTCCTGGGCTGAGGAAAATATGGCTCTGTGATTTTTGCCGTGCTGTTCACTCTACAGAAAGGATCATACTGCTTATGTTAGAATATTTCTGAGCAGTAATTTAGTGAAAGTTTAACTGTCATGATTTAGGACATAATTACAAATATTTTGGGCAGACAGCTTTTATATCCCTTGACCCTCCCTTATAGTTTAAATAATAGTGCACAGCTTATTTATAACATAATCTTGTAGGATAAATACATCTGTTGAAATATAATGGTGTTTCAGTCAGATTAATGGTAAGTATCCAAAAACCCATCAAGTAAGCTGTTCCTTCATTAGCATTAGAGAATGATGTCCATCTAGGCTTTCAGTGGTGACAGAGCTGATAATTATGTGGACTCCCACTGGACATAATAGAATCCTGTTATACACAGGTCATTATTTTTTATAGATAGATGTACTTGTGTATCAAATTGTATGCCATAAAACATGAAAAGGAAATACATTAATTCCCTATGTGCCCTGATCAAGTATGATGACACTGTCTGAATATCCAGAACTCTTGTACCAATATCCTTTTAAAATACATGGTCTGTATTATTTATTATTATTTATGAAATTTTTATTTCATCCAATAAATTTTTTTAAAACCTATAGTTTTAGAATGGCACTCTATATTGATAATGGGTATTTTGAAATATAAATAAATGTTTTTACAATTAATTTGTCCTCCAGGTTTACATAAGTGAATAGTCCCTTAAATGCCTTTTGGGACTCTGACTGGAAAGAAACATTGTCTTAGGAGAGGCTTGCCAAGCTCTGTTAATGAAAAGCGGCCCATTTGTTCTCTTTGCTTCGGGCTGTATTCTGAGTGCGTTGGTAATTGTGACATTGCAGCTGTATTTCCTGACTATTAGTTTTGTGCTTGATGAAGGATGATAATTAATGTGTTAAACACTTGGTGTGTCCTGTTTGGGAGGAAGACTTTCTTACAGCAGAAATGTATGGATGCACCTCATGCTCCTCGAACTTCAAATAGACCTTTCACTAAGAAACATAGAATGGTTCTTTTGTGAAATAAATTCATTATAAAAATGAATCTCTACTGCATATATTCACAATATTCAAGTGATGATTTTGACCATTTAATGGAAATGCTTACTATTTTTGTCCAGGCCTGATGTGATTATGTTGATTCTACCTTGGGGAGGGGTTAGAATCATTTCAATCTCAGGATAAGTTTTTAGCGTTCAATGTTATGGAAAATTGAGCTTTGAAATCTCATCTTAGGAAAATGTAAATCTGGTCATTGTAATGTCTCCAGCTGAAACAGAAGCAGTCTGACTCCAAGTGGCTACCAGGAAAAGGCGAGCTTCCTCATGCTTCTGCTTTCAAACAACAAACACTTACTGATTCATTAAGACGTTACTAACCATGCATATTGTACATGAATTATCATTAATGAATTAATTTTACACTGATTCCAAATCCGGGAACGTCTTTCACATGGCAGGAATTATCATGTCCTGGGGACAGGCATAGAATGTTACTTGCTGGATCTGGAAAACGTTGTCCCTTTTCTGGGGGAGCAATTTGGACTCAGAGCTTTAAGCATTTTAAAGAAACTAAATGAAATTCTGTCTCATTAGGAGAGAAGTGCCTGTCTTAAGTTGCCAGCCCTTAGATGTGGTTGTTTACTTCATTCTTCCAAGATATCACTTATACATTTCTCCATGCATCCCGGGCAGGCGACAGCCACAAAGGAGTCAAGTGGCTTTTCCCTGGATCATCTATGGCTCCGTTTGCATCAATTGCCATTCCTTCTCTAGCCAGCATGGGTGGAGTTGGGCATTTTTATAGGGATGTTAGGGTAAGGAGTAGGCCTTTTACAGCAGAGGGTGAGGACTGGGTCTCTTACAACAGAGGGTAAGGAGTGAGCCCTTCAGGTAGTGGACACACACTTCTGAAGGTTAGTTGAGGGCCGGCATGTCCTACTGAGTTTGTATTACGGGACTATTGGGGTTCCTGCTCATTTGTTTAAGACTGAATCTTAACCTGCACTGACTTTAAACTCATGATCCTCCTACTTCAGCCTCCCAAGTACTGGATTATAGTGTGTATGATTATACCACACTTGTTTCTTTTTTTAATTTTTATTTGAGACAGTGTTTCCCTCTGTAGTCGAAGCTGGCCTGAAATGCATCTCCTCTTGCTGCACACCTGAGTTGCTGGGATGCATCTTTATTTATTTATTTATTTATTTATTTATTTATTTATTTATTTATTTATTTATTATTTATTTATTTTTATTTTGGTTTTTCGAGACAGGGTTTCTCTGTGTGTAGCTTTGGAGCCTGTCCTGGAACTCACTCTGTAGCCCAGGCTGGCCTCGAACTCAACAGAGATCCGCCTGACTCTGCCTCTCAAGTGCTGGGATTAAAGGCGTGCACTACCACCGCCCGGCGCATCCTTATTTTTGAAGCCATCCAAGTGCTAGTGTTTAACAGAAATGGTCAGGAGCAAAGTATCTCCCTGTGTGTGGCACACTTCATTTCAGTGGCTTTGAGGCGAACACTGGATTTTTTCCACTTTGCTCTTCACATTTTCAGATAATATGATAAAAGTACATAAAAGCACAGCCAGCCAGACCAACTCTGCCAACGCCCAGCTGTGCCAGTGGTGGTGGTGGTGAAGGCAGCAATGATGAGGTGGTAGTGGAGGGGCTGCTGCCGCTGATGATGATGATGCTGATAATGCTGCTGCTGCTGCTGCTGCTGATGATGATGATGATGATGATGATGATGCTAAGGGCGGTGGTACAAGTGAGGTGGTACAAGAGGCTGGGAAAATGAAGACTGTTGCTGTCGGTGTGGACATTGGATTATAATGGTCGTGGCTGTGCTGCTGTTGAGACTTGTGGGCGTGGTGGTGGAGGATGAGGTGACAGTGGTATTGGTGGTGAGGGTGGTGGCAGCAGTGGCTGTAATGGCAGGTGAGATGGCGGGGGTGGAAGTCACAGCAGAGGCCTTCAGCTTCATCAGTGCTGATGCCTGAAATGAAGCCAGCCGCCGAGAGCAGCTGGGAGGAGGGTTTGTTGGAGTTGCTAGGTCTAGCAGCCCAGTTTCAGTTCTTTTCTTAACGTTTTCATCCCAGACTGGTCACCACCAGTCTCTCGGGCACGGTTGTCAATGGCAGATCTTACCAGACCTCAGCGAGGGCTGACCTAGCCCACTCCCTTCCTGCTTTCCACTGGACATCTGGCAGTTTCCATTCCCAAACCTGTCCTTCAACCCCACAGGCCTTGGTCTGCTCTCAAACAATTCCCACCAGGGATGGGAAAGCCAGAAAGGCAGGAGGGTGTG